GACTGACACATTTTCCACTTTCATGTGAAGACTGAAGTGTTGAAATTTGTTTGAATAAATAAAACTATACAAAAAATATCTGATAAAAAATGTAAATCATAATGAAATTACGATGAGTCGAAAATTCCCGAACGGTCCCGAGTATAGCCGAGTCCTTTACCGTCGTAGAGTGCACTACAAGGGACTACGGATAACTAATTTCTCAGAACCTTGATCAGTCATCAGTAGCGATTATTAAGTGCAGCGTGGCATGTAGTTAGTAATACGTTTTACTATAGTTTTGTAATTGTTGTTATTTTTTCTTGAACATTTTGAGTACTTGAGTACGTTTTACGTGAGTATTATACATTTTCGTACTTATTTATATTCAAAAAAAAAATTTTCAAATGTATTTATTAGAATAAAACAATTACAATTCGAGTATAAAATTACTTCGAGTATAACATTACTTCGAGTATAACTGATTTAAACCAATTTTAAGGCTTAATTTAATATTTTAATTGTTTTATTATATACATTGAAATCACTGTTTGATAACATTTCGTCCAATTTTTTGTTTCTTATCGTCTTCAATAGTTTGTATTTTTTTTAAGCGGCTATTAAATTAAAACAATTCAAAATATTGTGGTTGTCTAGACGATTTCAAAATTTCGTTACTAATAAGTAATATTCTATTCGTATTTTTATGCAGCATACTTGAATTAAATATGTTGTAATACATTTCAAAAAAACAATTGCAAATTGTTCACATCATTCTATTAAAAAATTGTACAATAGATATTTATATATTATATACTATATACTTTTGTAAAGTCGCTTATAATAGTGTGTACACAATTCGACCGCGGTATAGGCACTGTCATAACATACAATATGTCAATATTATGTTTAATGTTTATAATTGTAGCATTGATTGCCGTTGGTTAGCCATAATCAAAATAATATTGATAGAAAACATCATATTTACTATACACTTATTAAAAATCTGAATGAAATTTATTTTCCCTATGAAATAATAAATATTAGCTTAAATTTTTGTATTGAAAATGACTCGTGTGGTCATGCGATATTATAAACAAATTCCGTGTTTTGCCAGTTTAAGAATTAATAACAAGTAGGTAACCACCATTGCATATTTACATGTCGTTTATTACCATGTCATTAGTACAATGTTACCAATAAGTTAGATGACTGTAACGTTGAGTGCCGCGGTCGACGGGCAGTCGGCAATGTGTATAGGCATCTTTATGGCCTCATAATTTACTCGGTTATCAGAGCAATTCTTCCGTTTTTATACGTGGTTATTCAGTGAAATGTCTTCATTTCAACGGTGTATTCGGATTTTATTTTCGTTTATTTTTAGCAAAGAAATGGTTATTTTTTCCCAGAAAATCGTCGATGACGGCGACCACGACAATTGTATACTTAATTATATAGTATATACCTATATTTATTATTCTTATAATATACGGTTGTAAAGTAATTAACTATTTTTATTATATTATAAATATATATATATGTATTATTATGATTTATAAACGAAAATAGTTCAAGGAATTTACATCATTATATTATTATTTTGTTTACCTGCATACTATTCATTACTTAGAGCTATAATTTATTATTTGTACACGTATATTAGTCACGTTCAGTACGCTGAAGTGTTCGGTTATCTATGTATTGTATACGTAATGCATATACTAAATAATAATAATATTAATTAGGTATTTTGAAAAAAACCACGGTAGGTATTGCTCTGGGGGCAGACGACGACACATAGTCGACCGACGTAATTACGGAACCAATTTCGCGCGGATTCTCGGGCAACGCGCGCCAAATACTACGAGGCACTCAACGTGTTATAGCTCAAATTATTATGTACTTATATGTCAGGTCTCGGCAATTAGTATAATGTTGTCTGCATTCTGTATTATTTTTAATGGCTCATTTAAGGGTCAGACATATTAGTCATATTAGATTTTGATATCGGGACATTGCCGATAGCATAGTATGATGACAAAATATAGATACACGAAATACCTACGGTAGTTACGGGATACGCGGTTACATTTTAGGGAATAATGCCTATTGTAAAATTATCGCTATACTTATAGGATTAATTTGATCTGTTTTAGTGTGATGTTTTTTATTTGAATTTTATGCTATTTTTTGCTTCAACCGCTTGCAGTTTGATGTGATCACATAAATCTCCGAACTTAATAGATATAAACTACAGAGTTTGTTCTCGTTACTTCCAGATAACGACAAAAATAAACTCTTTACCGGTTATAATGTTTGTATTATTGCTTATCTAATTCTACAATTTAGAGCTAAAAGTATCGCGACTATCATAATTTGGACATCATTAGAAACCTATTAAACATACTGATTTTCGGTCAGGTGACGTCATTATTTTTTAGTGATGTAATAATTAATTACTAATAATATTATTGATCTCAACGAATATCATATTATCAGAGTTTGATACCGATTGTTTTGTAACACGTTTCTGTTACGATACTATTATATTAAATATAAATCCAAGATTGAAAAATAGTTTAAAAATATATACATAAAAGACTTAATACTATATAAACTATAAATGTATACATTTCTCTACTATGAATATAAAGTATTTTATGTAAATATTGAAAATATATTTTATTTTGTTCAATCACTCTTGAAACACTTGTAAGCATCAAGAATAATTAATTCACGTTTCCTGCAGTTTATTGAAAACACTAAATGATACTAATTATGTTACTAGTTATTACCACAACTGCAGATACATAAAATATATCTAAAGACGTGGTCATTACAAACGTTTTTCCTAGTCTTAAATACTATCTGATATATTTTGGCTGGCGAATATTTTCTACTGATATCATAATATTATATTACATTTGAGGGATAATTGTTTTTTTTATTTATTTTATTTATCCTTTTTTAAATACAAGTTTATTCTTTTACATCTGTTTTCTGCAGTTATCAGAACAAACTTAGTTTGTAGGTATACAGAGTTTTAGTGGTATATAATATTATATTATTATTATATAATATTATATTATTATAATCTGGTGCTACGTGTGGTGTCTACTGTGTTTAATATGGCAAATATCGTCAATGTTGTCACTTGTTTTTTTTTTTTTTAAAGTATAAGAAAATTTCTTTTTGAAGATGTTGATAGAATGATACAATTTTAAGATTTATAATATATTTCCCAATACTTTAAAATGTGTAATTTAATTTAAATTATTAATTTTGTTTGTTTTGATTTGTAGGAAAATAAAATAAAACAAAACAAAATTATAAGTAATATTTCCTCTTTATTTACGATGGAACGTATTTAATACTACAAAGAAAAACACGGATGGAACAATAATAATATGATTGAAGAATTCAAGTTTCAATAATAAATTATAAAATGCATTAGAACTCAGTATCAAATACTTGGATGTTCATTGAAGCAATCCAGAGATAAAATTCATTACCTTTTATTCAAATGTTGAATAGGTATCCAAGGTATAGTTGGGTCTACAAAAAAATGTTTAATAGGTATTTGTTGATAATAAAACAATTACAAATTAAATACTTTATATTACTCAGTATTCATATCCATGTGTATCTATGTGATTCCATTTTTAAGTTTTTGGTATCGCCTCTATGACGACTCGTCTGATTTCCTTAATAATCTAAGACGTACATACTTGTAGTTTTTATTTACAATTAAAATAATTTTTACAGATCTTTTTATTTATATAACCAATACATAACTAAGAGTACCTAATTTTCCTTTTATCATTGTTTTTTTCATTATTTTAAAAATATAATAACGCCATTGTTATAATTTAAATAATTACTCTTTAATAACTTCTTCAATTGCTTTAATATTATATCTTGTGCCTATCTTGGAATATTTTAATAAACCTCGTATTCCATAAAAGTTTTGTGATTTTGTACACCATACATAAATTATAATACATACATTTAGATATTTAAATTAGATTCAAAAAAATCTCTTTATTGGGCGAATACTTTATTAATACTTTATTTCTCTTTGTAAGTATTAGATGGATATCATACATTACACGTGTTTTTATTTTAACTCGGTGTAATTTACACAATTACACTGCATATGTTATGTTCTGCGAGCATAATTTAAATTGTATTATTGATTTGATTTCATTCTTCGAGAATTATCATTTTCACCGATTCAATCAACTTGGATGTTTCTATAGCTTATGATTTTTAATTTACATTTTTAGAATGTCTAGTCTAACTTTTCGATATCACTTACTTTATTAATTAATCAATAAATCATAAAACAATATTGATTAATTTGTCATTTTTTATTTAATGTTAATTTTTTATGGTGAATTAAATGAGATTTTGTAAATTTTAATATGATTTTGCACTTTCATCCTTGGGTTAAACATTTATATTAGGTTTTTATGGCTCCTAACAACTTCCAAAATCCTAATTTAGCAATCCAAAAATATTATTTGGTGACCCCAGTATTAAATTATTGGTTTCACTATAATTATAGTCAACATCAACAAATCTAACTATTATATATTTAATTTGTATTTATAGTTTTAAAAATGAAGAAGTAGATAACAATTTATTGTGTAGTCAGAGCAAGAGATCTTCCACGGCAATCATCTGGTCAAGACAGCCAAGTTCTTTCGTGGTCTTATTATAGCCAAGTATATTTAGTAAGAAATTAAAACCTTAATGCCGGGTTTCATAAACAATGATTAAACATTTAATAATTTAGTAGTAAGTTAATGGCCACTTAAACATGATTTAGTGGACCGTTATTACTACATTGCATTTTAGTGAACCATTAATCAATTTTTTACGCAACTCAGCATAATATAATTTTTACTATATACAGTACATTTTATTTTTGCAGAGGTGGTGTAGTATTGTGTTGAAGCGCTCATTTTCGTCGTAACGGTGAAGTAGTTGTACGTTTTGTGAACCAAGAGCACAGAGACATGGCTATGAAAAGACATAAGCACCATATTGAAGTATATAAAGATAATAGCGAGGACATAATAAATGTTTCTGGTGGTATGTTAAACCAAAGAAGTTTTATGTGATAAAATATAAAATGATTTTATTTTAAATATTTTTTTTTATATTTTGGCAGGTATTAGTAGTGAAGCCCAAACGTTCCTTGCCAAGGGGGCCCAAGTAATTGTACGCATGAAGGGCTTACCTTATTGTTGTACAGCTAAAGATGTCGTAAGTTTCAAATACCTATCTAATTTAAAATACATAAAACTTGTACGTCTGAGCTATTAACTTAATGATTTTATTTTTTATATAAATATTAGATAAATTTCTTTGAAAATGGTGAGCAAACTTGTGCTGTAATGGATGGAGAAGAAGGCATTTTATTCGTTAAAAAACCTAATGGAGGTACAACGGGTTATGCGTTTGTTCTATTTGCTGATGATTGTGATGCTCCTAAAGCACTTAGTAACCACATGAAACTAATAGGCACAAGGTTCATTGAACTATTTAGATGTACAACAGCAGAAGTAAAACAGGTAAAAATGTTCAAAATATCTTAAAATAATCAATGCAAAAAAAAAAATATTTTTTCTTAAAGTAAAATTAAAAATTTTTATTAGAATAAATATAACTGTGGTTATTAATTCAGAATTTTTCATTTGATGATATATATCACATTGATTATTTATTAACTTACCTATTCGTTTAAACATGAAATAGTTGTTGTTTTTTGGTTTATTTGTCTAAAATTATGATTGCATTTTTTATAATGTTCTAAGTTTTTGAATCGTGCAATGGATCCATCTGTGCGATCAACATCTAGTGATAGCAATGGCAACATAACCACCCCAGTAGCATTAACTGCTGGTGTGAATAATTCGCCTACTGCACTTCTTGGGCATGTTCCGCTTCTGCCATTGCCTCAGCACGTCATCACTAGTGGCACACGTAAAGACTGTATACGCTTACGTGGACTTCCATTTGAAGCAAATGTAGAACAAATACTTGAGTTCCTCGGAGAACATTCCAAAAATATTATATTTCAAGGTGTGCATATGATTTACAACTTTGTGGTAAGTTATATTGATATGTAATTTGATAAAAATGTAAAAATAGAACTATATTGTATGCTTTGCTTCAAACTAAAAATAATTAGTCACTTTAAAACTTTTTGACTATTCAACATATTTGTTATGCCTATGTAGACATAATATAATTATTACTTATTTATGTTCCATTCAGTTTTTTTTTTTTTTTTTTTGATGACGTGCATTATTTAAATTTCAAATATTTTCCACATAGGGTCATGCTACTGGTTTAGCATTCATTCAAATGAATAACGAGGGTAGTGCTGCTCAGGCAGTAATGGCTAAACACTACAATTATATGTCTTTCGGAAAAAAACAACGGTACATTGAAGTGTTCCAGTGTTCTGGTGAAGATATGCATCGGGTGTTGGCTGGTGGAGGAGCGTCAGGAGCTTTATTCCCATTAGCTGCCAAAGCGCTATTATCACCACCTATTATGTTACCTGCACAGCCTCTAATGGCCTCCAGCCAGGTTGCTTATCTTGGTACCCCATTTCCTACCATAATGCCCGCTTGGGATCCAATGTCCGTTTACACCCAGAATTCAGCTCAAACCATAGCCCTCCAGCGTACGGCTGTGACAGCTACCCAACAACAACTACAACAACAGCAACAACAGGAATCATGGTTGTATCAACTAGCTCCGAATAAACAATAAATCAATCTTGCTTTTCTCACCAAACAGCAACAAGACATGAATGGTGGTATGGCACAGCAGCCTAATATTCAATATATATTATCTCCGAATGTGACTCATCATTTATTGGATAAAAGTGGCCAAAATTAAATGGCTAAAAGTGCAGCCTCACCTTGTATTTACTTTAATATGCCACGATTTCTACACAACATGGTGGCTAAGCCTTATGTGCCAGTTTCGGCTTCTGGAGGTTAGTTTGTCATGCCACTGACGGCCAATTCGCCACAAAAACGTTCTTGGCAACAAGCATTTCCTGGTGGCCATGAAAGTTCTAATAAACTACAGATTGCACCACCGTCTGTTTCTGCTGCTTTGCTCATGTTTAAAATTGGTCAAGGCCCTAACGCAGCTGCGGTTGCAGTCGCAGCAGCTGCCATGATCGCATCGTCCCCTTATCTACAACATACTGCACAATTGTATACCATTTAACTTTTTTCCACAACTCTGTTTTCTTTCCCTCCAAAGTTAATTTACTGTTGTTAGTTTGGTTCTAAAAGCTAATAACCGGGTACATGGTTAGTGGTTAATGGTTACACAAATATTTGTTTTTATTTTATTTAAATTATCCATAAACCCATAAATCTGTTTTAATCATATAATTTGATAAAATGTAATATCATTAGATTATAACTTACCTTTTTTATTTTAATTAGTTGTTTTGGAACTGTTATACTTTAGACATTTTTAAGTTAAGTAGTTAAATAATTTTATTTTTTATTTAAAACATTAACACCAGTTACGTTTTGTTCAAAAGTCTAAGGTTTCGCTATTGGTAAATTTATTTCTTCTATATTTATCTGTTTCATACACATTGTTTGATTGTTTTGAGCTTAGATATATTCTATTAAAAGCTTAATTTGACTCAATCACGTGTATGGTGATTGAATGGGAAATTATCTATGAAATAGTAAAATCTACAACCATTAATAATAATCAATCTGTCATTGTGGTAAAATGGTTCTGGGGTTAGAACAAGCTAAGGTGTTAATTTATTTTGCATGATCATTACTATCCTTATGTCATTGTTAGCACATTTTTTGTTGTTCTGTTCAAATGTTTTATTAATAAATAAAATTAAAAAAAAATTAAAATAAATCAATACAAGTTGTTATCATTACAATGTCCAACGTAGCCATTGTATGCTACATTTGACATTTACTGTAACGGATTTTATACAGTTAAAATACTGTTGCATTTGTAATACTATTATAACTTAAAATATATATTTTTTTTTAAATACAGCTACCTATTAAAATTGACTGTTAAATATTTTTAGTTTTATGAAATCCTTTATACGCATTATATAATATATTTTTGAAAATGTTTGGATAATCCAAGAACTGGACCCTATTCTCTGGATTTAATGACGGTGTGGGTAGAAATAAATTTACTATAGTGGAACCTTAGGTTTTGTGTGCTACTAAATATTTTAATAAATGCTGTATCTTGATAGCAAATATGAAATGTGTACAAATATTTTACTGACCAGTTTTTTTTTTTTATATGTTATGCATTAATATTAATAATCATTATAATAGACGAATTATTTTTATATAGTAATATAAAATAAATCGAAATATTGCGTAACGGAATTAAGTGTTGATCTTTTATATTATTTAAACAAATACAAGGCAGACATGGAAGATGAACAAAGTTCTAAGCATACTTTATTTTAACTTATTCTTTCTCAAGTGTGTGAACAAATTAAAAATAATAACATTATTATTAATTGCACATACCTATACGTATACAAAATGGTGGTTTATGTCTCTGGATTTCAAAAACCTCACCGGATCTGGGAAAATTAAATGTATTGTCAAAAATTAATAACGACAATTTGCAAATTATTTTGTAATTAGAAACCAAGTACCCATCTTTAGTTTATAGAAGGTTCTAAGTAAGTAACTCTATCATCGAAATTCAAAAATATAAAATACACATATTGTACGATATTTGATAGGCATAAATGCGATTTCTTCTGCAAAAGGGATTGACGTGTACCTATGTACACTTATGTACATAGTACTGAGAGCCCAAAACCTTTTGTAATCTTTTATTCTCTTGTATAGGTTTTGTATTAATTGATTTTTAATATGTTGTATTTTATAGTTAGTATAGTACAAAATTTATTTTTATTTGTTTTCAAAATGCACTTTGACTAAAGTGTTAATAGAACAAATTAACCCCTGGTCAGATACACCCATAGACGGTAGACACTACGAATATAGCTATGACTAGGTAATTTGGGAGATAGACTACACGGACAACAACATACGAATTCCGTCCTTGATATAAAAATTGCGATTAGTGACATACTAATTACGAAATGATGATAAGAACAATATTTTTAACCTACCTTTAACAATATAATATTTAATGTTGTTATTGGCAGTGCCACAATCCTAAGTCTGTATTAAATGGGAAAGCAAATAATGTATTTACATCGGAAGCAACTAGTGTAGTTATTAATAACTAAAATATGTACTAATTGGAATCTAATATATGAATTTCTTTTATAAATATTCTATTATTAAGATATACCACTATTATAGTATTATCATATCATACCATATCATATTCAATAATTACTGAGCATTGCATAAAGGACAGTCTGTACATCTGTTATAGTATCTGTAGGTCACTTATTCATTCTTTAATATTTTACCGTTAAGATGCTAAAATATTTCTGAAAGTTTATACTATATCGATAACTTAAAATAAATTTAAGTATAGATTTTAAGTATTCGTCCTATTTGTGTGAGCTTGGTGGTCATTACACCAAACCAATTCCGATCACCGAGACATCCCCCCTTATAACTAAACTAATCTTCCCTATTCCTGTGTATAAATTCAACTTCCTTGTTCCCATAATTTTAAGTTTATTTTAGTCCCCTATTATAGTCGTCGTCAACGTCGTATCCAGTTTAAGAGAACGGACATTGGGTAGCTTATGTAAAATATACTAGGCGTCTTAGTATTATCGTCACAAGCAACAAGTCCTCAAATTGTACAAAAGTACTATTTACAAGGTAGGCCATATTGCACTATTTCCCATAGTATGAAGATACTGATATTCGTCCAAAGTCGATTTGACACGTACAATTGGCCAGCCCAAATAGAACCGATGGCAAAAGTGTGTTTTTTTCGGTCCCATAATTTAGTATGCGAGACGTATGAATTTGTATGCTTGTTTTCAAAAACGTAAGTTAAGAAACTAGTTATTTTTTTGAATTTGAGTGATTGCCGACTATTAAAAAAATATTTGCAACTCAACCATTGTACCTACGACAAAAAACCATAGAGGATCAGAAAAATTGTTTTTTATTTTAGTTCTTGTGATTTGGAGGTTAAAAAATTACTAACCCATGTGTGTTTAGTTAAGAGTGTTAAGACACTTACCTACTTAAAGATATGATAAATAATAATTAATACATTCCTATCAATTTATAGATTTATTATTAGAAAGAATCACATGAGCAAAAAAAAGGCTTTAAGGGCTAAGATCAAAAATGTCAACCCTCATACATTACCTAAAGTGTTTTCAATTATATTCTTTATTACTTTATAGTAGTGCTTCAGCCCCCCCCCCCAAATCTCAAAAGCTATTTGCACCAATGGATACAATAGATACAATTTATTATTATATAATCTTATAGGCACTTGATATTATAGAATAGGTAATAGGTGCAATTAACTTTTTTTTTTCACTTAAAAATAAACAAGTAGAATAAAAATAATGTATGATTGCATTATATTACAAGCTGTCCCGCCCGACGTTGTCCAGGCCAAATGTTTGTAGTTATATTTGTAAATATAAAATAATATAAATAATATATTTAATAATATAAATTAGATTGGAAATATTTAAACAAAAATTGTCACGTAAATGAATCTTTATTTCTAAATCCGATTTCAACAAATGGAATTGAGAACTACTTAAACTTACTAAAAGATGAGTGTTCATATTACGAATATGGAATGACAAATTATTTTTTAAAAAGATCGTCTAGACAAATATCATTACCTCTTTCGTTATTATTTAATAAAGCTATTAAATATGGAGTTTTTCCTGATTGTTTTAAAAAATGTATTATTATTCCTTTATTCAAAACAGGTGATAAGAAAATCTGTGACAACTATAGACCTATTTCACTTTCACTATCTATTAGTAAAATATTTGAGAAATGTTTAAAAAAACGTTTATACGACTTTTTAATAAAAAATAAATTTTTTTCAGAAAACCAATATGGTTTTCAGTCTGGTAAATCAACAATTGACGCTTTAGTACAAGCAGATAAATACATTAGGGAAAATTTAGATAATAATAATAAAGTAATGAGCATTTTTCTTGATCTGAAAAAAGCATTTGATTCGGTAAACCATAATATTTTAATCAGTAAACTTGAATATGCTGGTGTTCGCGGTAAAGCACTTAATCTATTCTCATCTTTTTTGGTAGGAAGATATCAGCTGTTAGAGTGGATAATGATTTAAGTAACTTTTTACCAATTAACTATGGTATCCCACAAGGTACAGTGTTAGGACCTCTATTTTTTTATAATTAATACAAATGGTTTATTTGGTTTAAATTTAAATGCTAAAATAATCAGTTTTGCTGATGATACCTTAATTTTGGTTAGCGGTACCTCAAATAATGTAGTTAATATACTGGCTTCGCGCACCTTGGAAACAATTAATACCTGGTTTGAAAATAATTTACTTGAACTAAATATTAAAAAATCTAAGTATATGTATTTTGAAATTTATAATAACAAACATTTAATATACAATCCATTAGTTATTCACTACTCAAATTGTAATATGTCATTAGATTCATGTAAATGTGATAAACTTGAGCATGTTGACCCAATTAAATACCTTGAGGTGATTTTTGATAGAAACTTGAGGTGGACTACACATATAAATCATGTAGTTAGTATGATACGAAAGCTGTTTTATAAATTCAAATTGTTAAAAGATATCCTCAACACCAACTCCTTGCGTACAGTCTATTTAGCACTAGTACAATCCATTATTAATTATGGTATAGTTGTTTGGGGAAACGCATCTAAGTTTGCTTTAAATCCACTTATTATTACATTAAACTCACTGTTGAGATTTATACTATTAAAACCGTATGATTTTCATGTAGATGACCTTTACAGGACATTCAATGTAAGAAACTTGAATGGCTTGTATACATGGAATATACTTAACTATATTTTTAACATAGATCTAAAAGATTATTACCAGACACATACATATCAAACACGCATGAAACAAACAGTGAATCTGAATATCCCAGTAACCATAAAGAATTTGGTAGAAAAATGGTTTTTAATGTCGGTATTCGTTTATGTATTAAACTTAACATTAATTTAAAATTATATAAAAATAAGTATCATTATACAAATTTTTTAAAACATCTA